AAACATCAGTGTGGCATCACTTCCTTGCAAGTGTGTGAAGGTATCTGAGAGGCTCCAGGATTTATGATGGGCAAATATCTACACAGGGCCAGGACTGTGTTCAGTCACCTCCCTGAGGCCCCAAACAGCCACTACTTTAAACAGCCACCTACTTATTTTATTGCTGATAACATTGCACTGGCTAAAAGTTGCAGGTTGGAAATAGGTGAGAACTGTCTTATCTGTCATGTTTTTGCTCTCAGTGGTGGGGTGACCATGGCTGGACACCCACCAAAACCACTCCATCACTGCCCTGCCCTCCTCAGCTGGGCAGGGCAGAGAAAATATAACAAAAGGTGGAGATATAATATATATATATATATATATGTCATATACATAAATATAGCATGGGTGGACATAAGGACAGGGAGGGATCACTCACCAATTATTGTCATGGGCAAAACAGGCTCAACTTGGGGAAAAGTCATTTTTTACCAATCAAATCAGAGTGGGATAATGAGGAATAAACCCAGATCTTAAAACAACTTCCTCCCACCCCTCCCTGCTTCCCAGGCTCGACTTTACTCCTGAGTTCTCCACCCCCTCCCACCCAGCAGTGCAAGGGGACAGGGAATGGGGGTTCTTTATAGCCCCTTTTCTCTGGAGTATCCTCTGCAATGGCCATTCAGATGAGTTACTTTGGAGTCACCCCCCTTTGCCTGTGTTCACAGGGAAGGACTTTTTTTCCAGCACTGCCAACTCCAGCACCACCGGCAGGCTTATGGCTCTGGGATGGACATGAAAATCCTGTGGAGTTTTCCCAGGAGGATGAGCCAGGTTTCCCAGCTGCAGCATTCCAGCTTGAATCTTGCCTTCCCATCCTACTAAACAGGAAATCTGTCCTCACTTCCTGTGAAACCAAGGCTCAGAGGCATTCTCATGACATAACGGGATTAAAGAAGTGTAAAGTGATGCAATAATTTAAATATGTGTTGACCTCCCCAGGACAGACCTCAGTTGGTATCTGGACACTCCAGTATTGGCAATAAATCCAGGATTGCTGCTCAGCCTTAGTCAGGCACAGCAGGGATTTGTGCACATTTGTTCTTCAGTACAGAGTCTGCTTTCCTCTCCTCTACCAGTTAATTCCTATTCTTAGATTTGCTGTAGAATTTTCCAATGGAAAACCCTCAAACCAAAATTCCTCCCAGACTGGATTCCCAAGCCACACACTGCTCCAGGCTCCCTGGCAGACTCTACCCAAAAAAACTTGCCATCTGATTCATGGCAGAGCCCATTGTCTTGTTTCTTGTGTTCTTTGCCTCGTGTAAGGTTTTTATTTTACTGAGAAAAGGGAACAGAGAGCTGTGGAGAAGCAGTGAAACCACCAATTGTGAGCCCTGGGCTGGGCTCTGACACTGTCCAGAAACATCTCAGGAGGTGACTTGGCAAAACATCAAATATTGCTGCATTAACCACTCAATTAGTCAGAATTCAGTGAGATTTGAGCAGGGCAGGGATGCAGAGGGGTACAGCACAAGTTGTCACCTCCAGCCCCTTCCAGCCAGGAGCCACAACATTCCTCTGAGAATCCCACCTCATTTAACTGCACAGCAAAAGCAGCTTGAGCTTCACCAGGCTGGGAGAACTTGTAGAAAACTTCTCCCAACAAAGCAGGGCTTGAATGTAAAAATCTCAGTCCCAAAGTCTAAGGTTTGGTGTCAGTGGTTGTTCCTCTTGCTTTGCTTTTGAGCAGGTTTGTTGTTCCTTTGAGTCCAGTCAGGCTGACTCAGGGCCAAAGCACAGCTCTTTCAACACCACCACAAACAACCCCTTTGCTCAGTTATTTTACTTCCAGATAGGTGGGAAAAGCTCCAACTGTGGAGTTTGACACCGTGGTCTCAGTGTCAGGGTCAGCACAGACAGGGAGGAAGAGGAGAGGATGGAAATCCCCTCCTTGGCTGATATAAAACCTGACAGAAGGTTAGAATCCACCTCTGAAGTACAGAGGATTAATTATGGATGCAGCCTTGCCAGGGATAGTCCTTCAGCACAGTCATGTCAGAACAAGGTTTGCTCTCTGTGTAGGAGAAATCCACGTGTTGCAACACCAGGATTTGCAGTGTGGGCAAATCTCCACAAACCCACAGCGTGGTTTTATTTTCTCTTTCCCCTGCAAAAGTGCTGAGCAGCCCTTGTTTTACTTCAGAGACTGCAGGAAAACACAGTGCTTGGCAACTCTGGGTCAGCTGATCCAGAGGGCACAGCCAAGGCAGGGTTTTGCTGGGAGTGGAAGTCCCAGCAGGCAGAGGAGCAGGAACAGCATCACTGGTTGCTTTGGTTGTGGTTTGCTTCATATGAAAGTGTGAAGAGCAGATGATTTCATACCATTGCTACATCAGAAATATTAGGTCACTGCTGGAGAAAGTTCTTGAAACGGTGGTTTCAGGGCGATGAAACTCTGCAGTTGCACTTTTCTGGGATCAAGGGCTGAACTGCTGATGGTTGCCCAGTTGGGCACAGGTCTGAAGTCAGTGAAGGAGCAAGGGCTGGCACCAAACAGCAGGACAGTGGCACCAAACCCACCCAGCTGCTCCATCTCCCTGCCTTGGTCAGGCTCATCCCACACTGGCCTGGCAGAAGAGCCAGCACCTTTCCTGCTGGGATCAGCACCTCCCTGATTTCTCTCATTCTGACTGTGACCAGTGTACACAGAGCTGTTTCTTTAACTCCCCTTGCCTGAAAGGTTCCTATTTTCCCTGTAGAAAGCAGCTCTGCTCCATGAAAACAGGCTGCTGGTGTGTTGTCCTGCAGACACCAGTAGGATCTTCATGCTCAGGAAGCTTTTCTCCCTTCCAGAGGGATTTTACCTTGGGAAGACAGAGCCACAGCCAGGGTGGCTGGTTGAGTAGCTTAATTGCTGATTCCTTATTGACCATTGAGGAAAACAAAGCTAAATTTAGTGCTTTAGATCTGAGCAGGGAGGGCTAATCAGGGCAGAGGTATTTGTGGTTAAAGCACTTACCTACATTCCTGTCGAGATTTGCCACTGATACCCCAGTTCCCAAAAATGCACAATTAGGTCACAGGATGTCTGTGGGGAATGGGCTGCAAATGCTCCTGAGGGCAGAGGCTCTTTTAGGAGGAGCATCCAATGGTTTCCAGCTTTGGCCTTAGGGCATTAGTTTCAGGGTGACTGGCAGAGGTGCCCCTCTCACCTTTCAGGATAAACCAGCAGCGTTAGGGAACCTCAAAGATCAAAAAGCCACCTCTGCAGATCAGGCAGGGCTTCCCACACACCCCCTTCCAACAGGAATTAAACACCACAACCAGTGGCCATCACTGGGTCAGTCACTCCTTGGAAAAGAGATATTTTAAGGAAGAGGAGAGGAAGGTTTAATTAAAACAGCTTCTCAGCACTTCTTCCCAGTTTTTCCAGGAGGAACAGACCTCTTGGTTTCAGCTGGAAGGTGTAACTTGCAGAGCAAGCAGCTCAACACATTTTCAGCTGGAAGTTTCAGCAGAACCAGCTCCAGCAATTGAAATCCTTCCCAGCCATCCCCAGTCCCGGGTAGCCACCAGCACATTGAAAATCCTGTTAGTCCTGAGAAACACTGAACTGATCCAGTTTGCCAGTGCTCCCTCCAGGGATTCCTGCACAGCTGCAGGGACACGGGGCTCTTGAGCAAGAGGTTCAGTCCCCTTGTCACCCAGCCACCCCCTTCCCAAACACCATTATCGTGCCTACACCAAACCATCATGTGAAAGGGCCCCGGGCAGTGCTGTCACGGGAAGGGAATGCCCGACTGATCACCTGCCCCCCGGAGCACCCACTGCTTCCCACACCATCACCAGTCCCTCACGTGCTGCCCCTGGGTGGGAGTCACCTCCTGGCACAGCCGGGATCTTCAGCGGACAACAAGCGGAAAAGAGCTTTTAAACCCAAAACTTCTCAATCACAGATCCGTGGAGTTACCAGGGCTAGGAAGGAGCCTTCGGGGAAGGATTTGAGTCCCGGGATGGTTTGGGTTGGAAAGGACCTTAAAGATCATCTCATTCCAACCCCCCAAGCCTTCCAGCCCTTCCCCAACACACAGACACATCATGACAGTGTAAAATATCCCCTTTGGCCTCAAAAAGCCAAGACACCCCCAAATCCCCAAAAAACAGCAGGGGGACAGCACTTGGCTCCGTGATTTCCCAGGGAGCTGGAAAAGCCCCGTGGGCACACACACAGCCCCCGAGCAGCTCTTCGGGGCCAGGAGCCAAGGGCTGGAGGGATGGAGCCAGACCCACCCCAGCCTCCAACTCAGTAAGGGCTGCAAAGAGCCCTCCAAGAAAGGGGCTGGAGAACCCCTGCGAGAGCAGAGGCAGCCTTGGGGAGTCCCCAGCCCCAAGATAAGTCACAAACCCCACACAACCTCCACCCGCCCCTCCTTGCACTCCAGCCCAGCCTTACCTGGCTCAGCCCAACCTCGGCGGCTCCTCCGCTCCCGGCACCGGCAGGACTGGGAGCACTGGGCGTCGCCCAAATAAATACCCCACGGGGCTGATGGGCAGCTCAGGGAGCCAATTGGGAGGCTGCAGGTGCCACCCTGGCCAATGGGGAGGGGGTGGGAGAGGGAGGGGCGGGAGGTGGGGGGGTGGCAGGGGAGGGTCTGGGGGTCTTTCAGGGCCCTGGGGGCTGTGGGAGCT